TCGTGCACCACCAGCACCACATTCTCCCGCATATTTTCCACCAACACCTCCTCCGGAAAGGCTAGCGTCAGGTTGCTGACCGCCGTGTCTTTGCGCCCGGGCCAGGAGCCGAGGTACACGCCGTTGAGGTAGGCGGACCAGCCGTGGGCGGCGCCGCCTTGGATGGCGAGGTGGATGGCTATTGGTGTTGGTGTGGTGGTGTTGGTATTGTTTGGGGTGGTGGTGAAGTGGCCGCGCCAGAGGAGGGTGCCGGTGTGGAAGCCGTGGGGGTTGGCGGAGAGGGGAAAGGTGGTGGTGTTGAGGGGGGACCAGGCGGGGCCGGTGTCGGGGTAGGAGGGGTGGCGCTCGGGGAGGGCGTCGTGGGATTTCCAGGAGGTGATTTGTGGGGGTTGGAAGGAGTCCGTGGATGGGGGGGCGGGGATGGTGGCGCGGAGGGTGGAGTGGTTGGTTTGGGTGGTGGGGAGGTCCATGCCGTTCCAGAGGATGCGGGTCATGCTGGAGAAGGTGAAGACTTCGAGGGGGGTGGTGCGGTTGGTGTCGCCCGTGAGGGAGATGGTGGTGTTGTCGGTGAGGAGGGCGGAGCGGACGAGGTGGGGGCCGATGACCAGGGCTACAGAGTCGGAGGTCTTAATGTTATCCAAATTCAATTCAGGGGTAAGGAGAATGGCTGGGGACGTACCGGTTTGATCCACGGGAACCTTAGGATCGTTCGTCAGCGCCGGAGCCCAGACCTCGTAAGCCGTCTTCCGGTCAACGAGTACCACTCTGACGCCGTTGTCAAAGTCTAGAACCGTCATAACTTCTTTTTGGTCGTAATATCCAATGATGATCCCGTGTTCGATCGCGACAATAGTGACGGGCGGCCCTGATGAAATGGTTCCCTCCTTCGCACCCTTCAGGTAAAACTCCCCCGACCTACCCCTGGGCGTCCACAGCACCAATACCGGTCTCCCATCAATAATGGAGTACGTCAGGATCTCGGCGGTTGAGTAGTAGAGCGTGTGGTCTCCGAAGTGGAAATCAGCCACCAGGATCTTACCTTCGTGTCCGCTGAGAACCACGGCGCTGGAAATTTTGGGCACAAAGAACTCTCCAATACTAGTGTTAACCTTAAGGACAAACCACTCCTCTGACGCTGAAGCCGTATCAGCATGCCGGATGACGTAGAAGCCCGCTCCTGTGTCGGGATTCCGCAACTCGGTCGTAAAGAGGTCCGTGTTGTTGGTGTAATCTAGCCCCGTTCCCACACGCTCCGTGTGCGCAAGTTCGTCGGCAACCCTCGTGAACAGGCCCAAGTTCTTGATCTCATAGTACTTGTCGCCGATGCTCCGGTCCTCAGATATAGCAGCACCATAGTCGTAGCTGCTGCCGAGAAAGGGCGCCGCGAGCCAGCCCCAGTTGGTGCCGCCGTATATCATGTACAGGGTCAGCATGGTAACGCGCTGCGCGATGTTGTCCCGGTAGTAGAAATTGACAAAGCCCACGCCCGTTCTCTCCGGGCACCCACCAAGCGGACCGTCCCATGGCGTCGTGGCCCCGCCTTGAAACTCAGGCATGAGGGATGGCTGCTTGGGCGAAGCGTATTGGAACTGGTCTGAGTAGTTGGACACGGCCCAGGGAGTTATGGGGCCGCATTGATCGAGGATACAGGACCAGCATTGTGGCTGGGTGGAAAACCGGGATGTTAATGCGTTGAAACAGAATGGTTGTCCTGCCTCACACTTACATAACTGTCCAAGCCGTAGATATCCACGTTCCCGCCAGCATCGACGGTATCGTAATCCTTTGACCACGAGGGGCCACTCCGGTTCGGTACGTTGTGAATGAGTGGCACAACAATCCCGTTCGTCCTCGCGTTTTCCTCGAGTTTTTCCATGTAGGAGACGGCTTCTAGGTTGGGAATCCGGGCCTTCTCGTCTCTCCACTGTTTCGCGTACTCGTTCTCGATCTGGTACATGAGAACGGTCCCGTCTTCGGTCAATTGATACGGCCGTGTGAGTTGGGAGATGCCGTCCTGATAAGGCGTCCAAGCCTCCGTGTAGGCTGTGCCGTTGAGCCGCAGTGCACCATACTCGTCCGTCGTTGCCCACAAAGCCATGCCCCCACCATTCAGCTCTCCATTTATATGAGGCCCCGGCCGGACCGTCACATACAAGCCGTTGTCTTTCGCCATCTCGAGGAACCGAGTTATGTTGCGGGGACCGGTGCTAAAGTCTACTGAATCTGGGGTTGGGGCATGAAATCCCCAGTGCGTGTAGATCGAGACCATCCGCATGCCCGAGGCTTTAATCTTTTGGAGAATATCCTCCCACAGCTCGGGGACTGGTAGCCGGAAGGGGTGCATCTCTCCCCCAAATAGAAACAGGCGTTCTCCATTGATGATGATGCTGTGATGATCCCATTGAATTTCTTTCTGGAGTCCATTGTCGAGTATCGGCCATGGCGAGGAAGCGTTGGCGGAGAGGCCGCGTTGGAAGAGGAGGGAAAGAAACAAGAGAAAAGAAAGGGATCCAAATAACCGTCCGAAGGGACGAACGTGGTCTGTTATAGGGCACCAGAAGATCATGATATTAGAAGTATATGAAGCGCTCCTTGTGAAGACATGCACCCGGAGGCAACTATTGACTTTTACCACATGTGATGAAAGGGTGGCTGGGGCGTGCGTGAACCGACTGAAAAGGTAATATCTAGCCATGGGCAGCGGACGGCAAGATAAAGTATCATGCACCATTTCCTTGCCCTACCATAAGAACGGGCTAACTCGGGCCATGTAAGCAATTTATCTGTTAGGGTCGACTGGTCGGCATGTCAGGGGGCGACGGTTAATTAACAAGGCGCACCAATGGGATTCGACGAGAAGAAACGAGAGGGGGGACCGTAACATTCGGGATCATTGATCATCAAGGTGTACGGCGGACTAACCAACCGAGCCGACATGGCTTGGAGAATGTGGATCTTGGCCAATGTGAAGGGGATATCAGGATGGGAAAATCGTGTCGTCGGGGTGGGGGGTGTGAAAGTCCCTGAATTCTGTCCATCACATGCGTAATACATTACAAAGGGCGACAAGTTCCCCTTCCTGGGTGAGTGAAGCATCCCAGGTCATTATCTTCGATGTTATTCCGAATGATCCATCGCACGTCTCGTCATGAAGCCCGAGAAGGTCTCGTTCAGGGCCCATCCCATAAAAGCCCGCTTCCCCGTCCCTGAAATGCAGATGTGATCGCTCGTAACGCCATAGGAGAAAAGGAAGGCTAGAAAAGAAAGCAAAAGAAAGAAAAGGTAAGGAGAAAGAAAGAGAAAAGAATGAGAAAAAAAAGAAAGAAAATGAGGGACGAGTGATACCTAAGTTGATGCCTTGCGGCCAATGACAAACATACAACTCGCTGTGCCAAAAGCAGGCCGAGAAAAGCCCGATACGGTTGGCACTACATTGAAGAGAAACATTGTGTAAAAAGCCATACAGAAAATAGCAACGCATCCTTCTGCTTCAAAACACGGAAGATGAGGTTGCCTCGGGGTATCCATAATCTTCGTTTCCTCTTCGATCCATGCAGCAAGAGACACACAATAACTCGGTGGCATATCTTAGAGATCACCTGAACCGACTGACGTAGAGTCGTTAGCGTTCCCCATACGGATGCACCCCACCAGGGTGATCACGAAGGTACTGCTCAAGGTCGGTTGATATGTCGGCATATGCGTAGATAAGTCTGGAGCGATCGTTGGAGTTGTTCAGTGAATCGCCGGCTGTCGAGCTCTGTCCGGCCGTACCGCTTCCGGAAGCTCCGGTGTCCTGTTCATCACGAATGACCTCATACCCGGCGACATAAAAAGGATCTTCTTCCTCTTCTGCCTCCTGGGGTTGGACGGATGGCGGCGCCTCCGGTGGAGGTGGTGGTGCCGGTATCGCTCCTGCAGCTGTAGGGTTGGTGGCAAGACCGATGTTGTGTTGGTTGAGAAGTGGCTGCGTGTCAATGACCATATCGTCCTCTGGAACATCGTCGTCCTCCACGCCGTCCTGGTCCCCGTCGACCGAAGGCTCAATCAGTGGAGAGGTCCCTTGTGGCGGTGGGAAAATGGGAGCATCCGTGGGGGCAGGCCGTGCTGAGCGTCGCGTCTCCTCGGCCTGGATCAGGCGGTTGAAGTGTCTGCGTAGGGCAACAACGCCCTGGCCGGAAAACACACAGAAGACTGAGCGCTGGTGCTCGGTAAATTCTGAAAGAGGGTTATCAGCAACGCCCTTGGTATTTGGACGAGGAAACGGGAAATGCTCACCAGGCGGCGCGGGGCGGGAGTAGTGTTCCAGATCCTCCCGGAGAAATTCCTGGACTCCGGTTAGACTGAGGTGAGTCAGGCGAGGGCATGAATTGAGGAGCCGGATGATGCTCTGGAACAAGACGTTAGTGGACACCTAGTGGCAGGCTACCAACACGGAGGAACGTACCGCTTGCGTCAAATGAACGCAATAGCTCAGGTGGACTCTTTCCAAGCAGCTCTGGCTGCTGCTGAACTCGCCCGGGATGTGGTTGCCATGTGCATCCCTGCGCATTCTTGGTCGGCGGTTCGCATTTGCCAGGGCAATGACGCTGGCATCCGTGATACTAGTACACTTGACGAGGCCAATCCTCTTGAGCTTCGGAAGAGTGGCAAGTCTGGTAATTGAGTCATCTGTCAGGTTCTGACAACACCCAAGATCGATATAACGAATCCGGTTGCAATTGGCGACGAGGCGCTTCACGCCATCGTCGGTGATTTGACTGCAGTGGCCCATGTGAAGAAAGTGTAAGTTCCTCCCCAGGAGCGAAATAGCATAGACGGCAGCATCCGTCAAGTTGCGACATTTTTGGAGTACAAGGTTTCGAAGTCGCGGCGCAACCTCGATGATCTTCTCGATGGCGCGGTCGGTGACTGCAGTGGAGTTGCTCAGGTCGAGGATACGGAGATGTTCATAAGTTCTATTGGGCGGGAGTGCAAGGAAAGCAGAGTCGTCCACCAGCTCGCAACCGCCAAGGCGAAGCTCACGTAGCGCGTTGCCTTTAGAGAAGAGCGCAGTCACTGGTTCATTGCCGATGTGTCGACACTGCTGAAGATCGATTTCGAGAATGTTGGGACAATTTTCGGCGAAGGCAAGAACCGCCTCGTCCTGGATTTGAGAGCATTCGTTGAACTTGAGCTATACTGGTGTGTTAGCCGACATGTTTACCAGCCCCTGGCAATCAAAGATGCGACCTACCCTCTTGATGTACCGACAACGTTGTGCGAGTCGGACGAGGCTGTCATTCGAGATCTTTTGGCAGCCTGATATGTTGAGGCCTTGTAGGCGAGGGCAGTGCTCAGTTATTGCGTCGATCGAGGCAGCGGTTATATTGTCGCGAAAGCCCCCCGCCGTAGCAGTCGCGGGGAGCAAGGAAATGTCGAGAGAATAAAGGTGGCTGTTGTTCGAGACGAGAGCGATGAGCCCAGAATCTGTCAAGTTGTTGCAACCGGTGAGAGTGAGGCGCTCTATCCGTGTGCATTCAGCCAAGGCCATGACACTGCCGTCATTGATGTTGTCGGCTAGGGCGGCTAGGTTAAGACGCCGGATGAAATCGCGGTACGCGAAGGAAGGTGTTTTGAGGGTCAACGTTTGGCAAACAGTTTCGTGCTTCGGCCATGTTGAACATGAAGGGCGGTGCCAGAGGATTTCGACGGCATTACGAGCCCACTTTCTGCAAGTCAACATGGCATTAAAAAGGTCACCCGAAGTGCTCAGCTTAGCGAAGATGGCGATCAGGATCTCGTTCGGCAGCCGCTGGATGGGCTGGAGGCATTCGTCGTCGTAGACCTGCATGTTTTGGAAGTTGGGCACGCCGAGCGAGGACTGTGAGTCGTTGGTAGCGAGGAAGAAGTCGGATTCCTCATTGTCGGGAGGAACGGGTGAACTGGTCGACGAGGTTGTGCGGGAGTCTTCCTGAGGCGGTGGGTCGGTCACGCGGGCCCATGGCGGGTTACTGATGAAATAGGCTTGCGGCCCGCCGTCATCGGCGATGGCATCGAGAGATGCCGCTTGTCTCATCGTGGCAGTTGGAAGGAAAGGGTTTGTAGAGGTTTCGTGGCGCAACGCGCAGGTTGTTGTGAATGTTTTGGGAAATCAGTGGAGGTTGATTGAAAGTTGCGATCGATGGCGGTCGATGGCGGTGGTTGTGGATGTGGAGAGCAAGGGTGGGCTGTTGGCGGGATGCAGGGCTTCAGTTAACTTCGAGTCAATCAGCGGGGCCCAGGCTGATTGAAAATGGCCTAAGCCCGAAATGGTTATAGGCTTGGCAGGTTTGGGCGGCACTGTCGGCACAGCGCCACAAGTCTTCAGCTCGGTTGCTTGAATGGCAATGATGAAACGGCAAGCAAGTATGGCCCTGGCCCGGGCAAGGTAAGATCGGGCAGGAGGGGTTTTTCGAACGCCGGGTTTCTAGAACGTAAGACTTTGGAACGTAGGGTTTTTCGACTAGGAAGGTTGGGAGTTCAAACGTTGGTGGCTCGAACCTGGATCCTTGGTGGGTGCACGATAAAAATGATCGACCTGCCTTTGGTACGTAGGTCTTTCGAGTCGAAGGTCGCTCGCTGCCTTGCCCGTTTCGTTGTCATGCGCCCAACTAAATAGTTACACACCAGGACGACGGTTGGCAGCTCTGGGAACGAGGCGGCGGCGGGACTGAGTGGGTCCCAAAGCAATCCCACACAGCGCGGCACCGGCTCGAGGTCAGGCTCAAGGCTCAAGGATTACTTGCGCCCCCCGCTATGCTTTCTTTGCGGTCGAGGTGCCGAGTTCGCTCGTCATATCGGAACTGGGGGTTTGGTCGAAATATGAAAGTATGCGAGTTTATGGGGAGTGCAGCGGTTCCAAGTTGGGGTGCATCGATTATTTCTGGGAAGGATCGAAAACGTCTCTCGCCATACATCACCACGAAGCTCAGCTTAATTATTAGCACTAGAATTGCATGTACTTACCAGTCAGAATCTTTTGGGATGCCATCGCCAACAAAGTCGGCGTTCGGGGGACAAAAGTCCCGTGCCGAACCGCCCAATACCCAGCAGCCGTGATGGCTTTGCGACATCGTCGTAATGGGTTTACGAATGTGAATACGCGTCCCGGGAACGGAAGCCAGAGAAACAACGTCTTCACAGTCTATCTGAGTCAAGTTACCGGAGTAAATTTCAGGGACGGCGCCCGACACGGCATCAGGATACTACAACTGGTCAGTTTCGAGTAATCGTTGTCGATCCGGGCCCGTCCGCCGCCCACCTGACACTCCCGGTTAGCGAATGACCTCATTGGGTCGGAAACATTCTCCAGAAAGGAGCTGCGAGTTCGAAAACCGTTACAGTTTTGGTGACAGCTGCTCTAAATCTTCGCCCTCATCCCCGATCCGTCAACCTTGCTACGAAAGCGCAAAGGTTGTGTCGAACAAAAATACCCATGATCGGTAGGACGCCTGAAGGTACCTAGGTACTCCGTTGTTGAACGGAACTCTCGTTCCAGCGCAAAGCCCGCCTGCGCGGGGCGATCACATGCAGGACGTGACTGAGTTACTGGCTTGAGACTGGGTTTGCAGCAAGCGAGGGTTGGGTGATGAACGATGGTTCTTGGCAGGGCCGAGTCAAAAACATGATGTCAATTTTGGCGGATCGGACGGGACGGACCACAAACATCCATCAGACCCGACCCCAGCTCAGTTCTTTGCCGGAGAGCGGGGCCGTCGCCAACAACACACCACCTCTCGAACTATGAGTGACGGCCAAAGTTGAAAAAGAAGAGAAACAAACCGGCCAAATTGTACCAGTTCGGGGGCATCACCATGTTCCGACAAGCAGCACTGCGACGAATCACCGTGGCTCCCGGGGCTCCCACGCCATTGCGAGTTCATGTTCCCCGCCGGTTACTCTTTTCCCCGCGGAGCACCAGGAGGTCTGGCCGGGCTGTCGAAAACAACCTCGATATCAGGCGCATGTCGAAACAGTCGGAGGAGTGGCACCGCAACCGGCGCACCTTTCTCTGGTGTGGGCGTCATCGCCGGCGTCTTCTAATTCATATACACAGCATGGAAGCTCAAGGTCGAGCTGTCCATGCCCGTGAAGCTCGACTCCAACATTCCGCCCTACGATCCAATCGAATCCCCCAGCGCTGCGGAGTGTAGAGTAGTAGTCCACAACGATGGAGGGGCCGCGAGATCGTGGCGCCCGGGAACTGCCCGGTCCCGACCTTTCCCCGCACCCTCGACCTCTCAGCCTTCACATGCCCCGATCAAATTGCCCTATCCAACCACCCAAACCGACACGCTCACGCCCAGCTCTCACCACCCCCTCCGAGCAACACAACAGAGTACACCATTGTGGAGACTCGGCCTGCGCACAGTAACCTTCGTCAACCTGCAGGTCTACGTCGTCGGCTACTACGTCGCAACCGCCGACATCGCCGCCCTGCAGAGCGCCCTGACCAAGAAGATCAACCCGATCGCGACGACGCTGGTGGCGAGCGAGCGCGAGGAGCTGCGCGGCGCGCTGCTGGACCCGGTCGAGAGCGAGCGCACGTGAGACGAGCTACTCGCAGGTGAGATTCCCGCCCGGTCCGCCTTCCGCGTCGTGCCCGTGCGCGACACCGACTTCCACCACCTCCGCGACGAGTTCGTGCGCGCCGTCCAGGCGCGCGCCACGCCCGAGACCGCGGCCGACGATGCGTTCGGCGAGGCCATGCGCCAGTTCAGGGCCGTCTTCAACCGCGGCAGCGTGCCCAAGCGCAAGGAACTGCTGCTCGTGCGGGACGAGACGGGGAGGATGAGTATCTCGTACGACGCGGGGGCGAATAAGAAGGAGGGGCGCCCCGCGGGGCGGCAGCTGATTGGGGTGGTGGAGGACGAGCGCGTGTCGAGAGCGCTGTGGCTGAATTACCTAGCGGGGAAGAAAGTCGCCAGTGAGCCCGCGAGGAAGAATATTGTGGAGGGGATCATGGAGTTCGTGGAACGGCCCATCGGCACTGTTGCAGCGCAAGTTGTGCCAGTTGTGAATTCCAGGGTGTAACGGGAGGCGTTGAAGCGCGTGTATCTTGGTTTTGTACGAATAGAAATACCTCCAGAGCAGGGAGCGCTTGCGCGGTTATGCTAACACATATCAATTCATGTACTCTTAGATACTTCTCCGCACGCTGCATTACAACTAAACGCTTTTATACGTCGCGAATGCTAGAGAACCCTGCCTGAGTATAGAATCATGGGTATCCCTCATGCATGGGCCTTTGAGAACGATCATAATCACAGAGCACCAGCCTCCTTCAACAACACGTCGATCGACTTTCCATCCTTGCCGCTAGAGACGACGTTGTTGAGATCCGAACTCCCTCCAATGTGAGTGCCACCGATGAAGATGTTGGGGACGGTGCGCTGGCCGGTCATCTTCTGCAAAGCGTCCTGGATATCGTCGCCGTCGTCCATCTGGTTGAGCTCGACCGCCTTGTATTTGACGTCCCGGGTGCTGAAGACACTCTTGGCGTCGCGGCAGTAAGGGCAGTACGACTTGCTAAAGATCACTGCGGGGCGGCAGTGGTTAGCGAGAGTCCGAAGTCTGCGTGAGAAGGAAGCTGTCGGGGGCTAACGTACTGACGGCATTTTCGTCGATCAAGGCCTGGGCTTTCTTCTGTGCGGCTTCCATGTTGATTGATGGGGCTGAACCGAATAGTCTGCGGAATATGAAGGACATGGAAGTCGATGCGGGGTGGTGAGGGCGAAAGAAGAAGGAGGGTGAGGTGAGGGGCAAAGCGGACTCCTTTAATGGCCCGGGTCGTGGTTGCAGGACAGCCGGCAAGGTACAAATTACTACCCAGGTATGTCAACCAGAAAGAATACCGACGCAATGGATTTGTCAACCGGAGCTAGCCGATGGCGGGATGACACTAGAATCAACAGGGACCGAAGGTTCAGTGAATTGTAAATATTAAGCCGTCGCGATGAGTAAACTAAGGCATTTCTCTTCAAACTCTTTGGAACCGAATCTCGGGAAACAGATTTGTCTTCTGCCAAGCCCCTGGATTTGAGATCAGCCTTTCCCTGCACGGAACGCTGGTTCCAAAGCCGATGACGCAAGTGGTCCGTGTACTGCAAGCCCTGAGTCTCCATGGCTGCTGGTGAAATGCATCAGGATAAAGTGAGACTGAACTCGATCAGAAGGATGGAAGCAAGGCGTGCCTGGTAAATGCTGTAGAGTTAGGTAGCAATGCACCACGGGCCGTGGAGCTAAAAGCGAAGCTATTCGCAACGGCGGTCCCCGTCTCAAGGCGGCCGAGGTCCTGTCAGCGTTGGATGACCTCATTGTCTCGAATTCCACTCCGTAATTTGCCCACATCCAACTGCAGAACACGCTATGTCAAGAGGCAAACTTCTTGGGCCTGGGGCGATCGTGGGCGCCTGTCTCGTGGTGGATTTTTAACCAGTCGTCTGGAGCGAAGCGGCTGCGCGGCTTACATAGGATGATACGCATCTTGATTCTGTTCAACATCAGATGCCGCCATCTTGATGGGGATCTGAGATTGGGACCAGGAACACGGTGCAACATCAGGCGTGTCCGGCCCGTATTGAACCTCTCAACAGGGCAGCCTATCCGGTCAACCGCTGATCCCCCAACCAGTTCATTCCCATTTTTGACTTCCGCGGGATGCGCATCGCGTTATCGGCGATCTGTCGTTGTGCAGCATGTTTGCATCGAGACGACGACTCAGGCAGTCAGGTTCAATAAACCCGGGTTGTGGTGGGTCGAGGAATCCGACCGTGAACAAATCGTAGCTGGATGGAGAACAAGCGGATCCCAACCAGATGGGAGGGGTTTTGATCCACATTTACCGGGTTAAGGCGGGGTCTCGGGCCACGGGGTCGTTCCAGGACATGGAAAAACTGGCACCCTTGCAGCCCTGCGGTCAGTCATGACCGCCACCCAAAAGTAATCGACCGGTCGGGAACAGCAGACATCAAACGGCGAGCAACCTCAACGTCACCCGCACATTGCCCCCAAGGCGGTGATCGACCCAACGGCGTTGTTTTCTTTCCTTTTCCGGAATTCTGGTGTGAGGACAACACAGCTCTTGTGCTCCCCTTTCAAGGGCGACGGCTTTAGCCTCAAACGTGGTCATTGACGGACCAGTCCTCTCCCTCCGACTGATGCATCAGCCCAGCAAGCTTCGCGATTCCCCGCGTCTCCGCGTTCATCGTACTAGGCGACGAGCCGGTTGATATAATCCGGCTACCGGTCCCTCTCTCTCGCTCATCAGGTCGACGGCATCCTGTCGTAAGACCGCACTAAAGTCGCCAAGGTGGCTTCAGGTTCGGAAATTTGGGCATCACCAGGTGCCTCATTCGCCAACCTCGCTGGCAACCTTACTTCAGCACTGCGGAGTCTCCCTGCCTCACTCCAGCCTTACTTGGATACCACCGCGGGTCACCTTGTTGGTGCAACCGAGTATCTCCAATCAACAACCGGCTTTTCGCCCACAGTACTCTACACCACCGCCGGTGTCATCCTGTTGCTCGGTGCGATACCGGCCGTCGTGTCACGCAACGGACAATCCAACAAGAAATCAGGGATCATGCCGCGATATGGTTTCTCAAATCGCTGGGCCGTATCGCCCTTCAGCTCCCAGGAGGGCGTGCCCGACGTGACCTCGGATGACTACAGCTACATCACGTCGGCGGACCTGGAAGACCATGGCATCGATATGCCCCGGCCCTACGCCCCTCACTCTCATATAGTCGAACCGCATTCTCACTTCGCACCTCCGCATTCCCATTACGCCCCGCCTCACTCTCACATCGACTCGCATCCCCATTCGGCCCCGCCCCCAACCTACGGCCGACAACGGCCCGAGGACGACGTGCTGCTGATCAAGCACAAGGCCGTCAACTACCCTGAGCACTTTCCAGCCTATTCCATCGGCGACGGGAAGCTTTTAGTCAGCGACCTCCGCGAGCGTGTCAGGATAGTCATGGACCTGTCAGATCGCCAGGCAAGACGGATCAAACTCTACTACAAAGGTCGCCGCCTCAAGAAGGCCGACGCGCCGGTACGTGAGTACGGTGTCAAGAATAACAGCGAGATCCTCATGGTCCCCGGAGAGTCGAGTCGTGGAAGTGGCAGTGAGACCAGCGAGGAAGTCGTGGGATTGGGCCGAGACGAGCGGGAACGCTATGAGACCCAGGCGAGCTCTCCGAGAGTCGGCAGGTCAGGCAGGTGGGAGGACCGCAGTCCGCGCGGCAGCGGGTCGCAGGTTGGTCTGGATGTCCCGACGGACGACAACAGGAGACGAGCAGCATCGAGAGTCCGGACTCAATCCCCTGGATCTGGCGTGTCTACCGCCAGTGCCCCTGCCGCCACTCCCGTCGGCAAGCCCGGAGGCCCCATCGAAAAGCTAAACGGGATCTCCGCAGACTTTAACAGCAAATGGCTCCCCCTCTGCCTTGAGTACATCGCCAAAACTCCTAGCGACCCGAAGAAGCGCGTTGATGAGCACCGCAAGATTTCGGAGAGCGTGATGCAGCAGACCCTGTTAAAGCTTGACGCCGTCGAAACATCCTCAGAACAAGGCGCGCGGGCTGTAAGGAAAGCGCTAGTGATCGAGGTGCAGGGCGTCCTGAACAAGATGGATGCTGCGAAGAATGCAGCATAGTAGTGGCATGTACTCCCGACTCGTGGCACTCCATCCAGTCTTGATTCCAGACGCATTTCTGGGACAAACCCAGCCTGAACGTCTTCGCTCATTCTGCGCCTTTGCCATCCTCCCTTTCCTGTCTGTTCCCTTGCAGTTAGTCTCTTCCACCTTTTTTTAATACAGAGAGCATAGCGAGATGCAGATGGCTATTTCCGATTCTACTTTAAGCATAAGAGCCCAAACTTGGTTTCTGTTAGTCATCATTCTGTTCTGTTCTTTATTCTGGGAGGTCAGCTGGCTCGCGACCTCCCCTTAGTGATCAATATCTCTCCTCATAATGGAATAATAAACTTGCTTCCTGAAGCAAATGCCAGTTTATGTGCATGAGCCACGATTAGAATTTAGCCTCGATGACCGTAGAGAACCTGAGCTCAAAGCTCAAATGGGTCGTGATGGCTGACAGCTGCCCATCCGTCGCCAAACCAGCTGGTGGATCTGGGGAAGAGAGAATCGAAGCCCCACCATGCGGGCGCGGTAGGTCTAACCCTATCGTATGCTGCCTCAGGCCACAATCAGCGCTCGCTTGCCGACCTCCACTCAGTCCGAATTCGGCCTAGCGCATTTTCGCCGGGTTGGCTGCACAAGGCCAATTTTCAGCACACACAAAAAAGTCGAAGAACGACCATCAACCATCACAAGGGTAAGGAAGCAGCCAGCTGCTACTCGATCAGCCGGACTGTGACTGATCAACCTGTTTTTCTTTCTTTTAGTCCAGGTCATCACGCCAAAATGTCTTCGTTCGAGTCTGTGGTACGTACGCCTCAGCTTCCCTCAACACCTGCACCTCGAAAGCCGCGCGAGATGCCGGCCGCTCCAAGTTCGCGATGCAATCAGCGGAAGACAGCGGCGGGAACGGCGGGCGGCTGGAGGGCGGCACAGTCGGGGTGGGACATTGGGAGTCGGGATTTCAAGAATGCTAACAACGATGCGCAACAGGTCGTGATCGATGGCAAGGGCCACTTGCTTGGCCGCCTGGCCAGCATCGTCGCCAAGCAGCTCCTTAGTGGCCAGAAGATTGTCATCGTTCGCTGCGAGGACCTCAACATTTCCGGCGAATTTTTCCGCGCGAAGCGTACGTACCACCTTTCATTGTTCGGCATTGGGCGGGATTTCGGTGGTCAGAATGAAGGCGGGGCTTTGGGACGAGAACAGGGAGCGCTTGGGATTTGGCCGCTCGGATGATGGGGGAATATCATGTCGGGATTGAGAACAAAATGCTAACTGTCGGGAACAGTCAAGTACCACGCCTACCTCCGCAAGGCGACCCGGTACAACCCCACTCGCGGTGGTAAGTCCAACCTACATGGCCGGAGGCTCCACGACCAGGCGATTCTAACCGCGCACAGGTCCCTTCCACTTCCGCGCTCCCTCCCGCATCTTCTACAAGGCCGTCCGCGGCATGATCCCCCACAAGACCGCCCGCGGTGCCGCCGCCCTTGAGCGCCTCAAGGTCTTCGAGGGTGTCCCGCCCCCGTACGACAAGAAGAAGAAGATGGTTGTTCCCCAGGCCCTCCGTGTCCTGAGACTGCAGCCTGGTCGCAAGTACTGCACCGTCGGTCGTCTCAGCCACGAGGTCGGCTGGAAGTACCAGGACGTTGTTGCGAGGTATGTTCCTCATGGGATCTCCGAACGGGCCCGGCTCTTGCGGGTCGGGGGGAAACGCTGGAATACTGACTCTGTGATAGGCTCGAGGAGAGGCGCAAGGCCAAGGGCGCCGCCTACTACGAGCGCAAGAAGCTCGCCGCGAGGCAGCTCTCCGAGGCGAAGAAGACCGCGAAGGTCGACACGAAGACGAGCGAGGCCCTCCAGGCCTTTGGCTACTAGAGATAGTGGCCGACTCGCACACCTCCTTGTCCTTTATGCGATTTCACTCTAGATTGGCGCGGTGGTTCGGGGCATCAACTTCATTTGCGTGGATGGTGGGGATAGGCAATGGCTATCTGACTCGCTGTGCGTCCCAGGCTTGGGACCTCATAAATACATGAGATCAACCAATGGAGACCGAGGTTGCATGGGACGAAGACAGCACAAAACGAAATACCCGGTGCTGGCGGCAAGGCTTCGTGATGTTGTGGGGCAGAGGCGCTGTTAAGTCAGGCCTCTCGATATGACCGCCGAACGCCTCGGCCAGTGCCCCGCTCATGCTGAATAAATGACCATAATCTGTACCAGCGCCAGTTAGTTGTGAATGCAAAGGGACGAGCCCTGGGTGGGCTGGTGAAACCATTTGGCAATGTCTTGACAATTTTTGTGGCCAGATCTCGGGGACCTTTTGAGCTGCTTAGAAGACAGGTGGCGCATATCCAGGTAAAGGACGCGATGTCTCTTGGTGTGGTTCCGGGATCATCGAGACGGAGCTGGGACCTACAGAGGTGGTGGTGGGTACGGTGACATACCGCCCTTGGAGGGTGTAAGTCGTGCTAGGAAAAAGAAGTGTTCTCCCAAAACTGGAAGCCTTAACCTAACAGAGCATGTCTCGGCCACTCTGGAAACAGCCTCAGCAGCCCCGATGCCGCTTCAGCATTCTTCACCTTATCAACTTGGAAGGTTCTTGTGCTCACGCCTCGGTAATGCCCCTACGGTTTCCCCAAGCTCTGATGCCACGGCATTGTCTCCGCAGTCTTACCCTGCTGTGAAGTCTGGACTGGAAGGTTTCCATCATGGTGATTTGATGTTCTGTGCCTTGGCGTATGTTCTCTTAAATGAGAAACTGGCTATCTAATTGGTGTATCACAGCTCTTCTATTGCTTCTTTCCGGAGTCAAAGACTCAATCTCAAAATAGGGAGCTGCCTGAGCGCCTGAGCGTGTGATCTTATCACAGGAAATATCATTTATACACTCATGCCTTTCCATGCTCCCCTAGACCGGTGGCTTGAGGTTGGTTACGAACAAAACGATACCAACAGGCTCTCAAGCGGCGGGCATCGGGCTCAGTATCCTTCCCTCCTCCCCCCCGGTTCCAGCAATTCGAAAACGTCGAAGAGAAAGTACCACATTCCCATTCATTCTAGGTGCTAGTCAAAATAACCTCGACCACCAGTTGCTAGGCTCCATTTCTAAGCTCTTAGACTCTCAGGCTCATGACCTTCACCGAAAGGGTCGGGCCGGGCTTGGGGTGAACTGCTTGCTGGGCGCAGGATCTCATCCGCCCCAATCGCTCGTCAGAGTCTAACTGGTGGTTAGGGGCTTGCCGTGATTATCTCTCTCCGTCGTTATGACCCATTGCCATCTTTCTCAACAAGGTTCGGAACGCTCTCCCTAACTTGGAAGACCATCGCCCGACCGATCAGCTGCGCATGAATATAAGCCACCGTAAATGTATACGAAAGGCCTGACTTTTTGCTTGAAAGTGTATCATTCTATATCTCGTTGCACTGTTGTGACACGGGTTCAACGTTCCAGATCATCACATGAAGAAAACGTACTAGGATATTTTCTTTAAATGATAGCCATTTAGAAGACGGCGCGACGACCGTCGTGAGGCCCTCGAAATTTGAGAACTGTCCAAACAGTGATGAAACAGGTGGTATATCCCATTACCACAATCGGAGCACTCAAACCTCATATCCAATCTCTAATTCTCTATTCTCACCTCCTCGGCCATATTTAGACGCCTTCCACAGGATTAGCCAAAGAGTTGCGGTAAAAAAGCTTGATGTTTGCTGGCGGTGTAATATCTTCCCTAGGTAGTTACGGTAAAATAAATGTGCTTGTATAAACTCTACGACGCTCGGTACATCGTGGTATGCATTTCCAAAAATGGGCGGCATCCATTGAGCCGGGTTGACACTGCAGTATTGCATCCATAATAAGCTTCTGAGATGGTTTTCTAAAGATTCCCAAGGCATCCCCGCTGTACTTAGTCAGGGTCCGGATCAATTACACTCCCATCAATGTCACCAGCCCGTTGCAGTGTAATTGCACCTTACGTAAGCGAAGCCACATTGAATTGATCCACGGAAGGCACTCGTTGAAATGGATGCAACATGTTGAAATTGGTGGGGCCGAACTGTGGGCCCCGTTGTGGGGCAATAACCTAACCCAAAATGGGAGAAGTGGGTCCAAATTTCCATACAAATCCCTAACCCTAGCTATCATCAATCATCTTCCATGTGTCCGTGTGTCTTCCATGACAGTATTGGATCGAGATCATCAATCACGCCGGCATCGTACCAGCTGCGGAGGATCTGACAGAGAGATATTGTGTTCGCCTGTAGCCGGTTGCGTAAAGGAGTAACCATATGGCCAGTAACGCTGAACAAGCGCTCAACTTCGGCGCTCATAGGAAGCACCGTGTGTAGATCCAACGCCATGCGCGCAAGCCGTGGGTAGGTGTTCCTTCTCTTGTGCCAGTAGGCACGGGGATCCTCCTCGTACCGATCAAAGTCGCTATTATCTAGTTGCCAACGCTCAAACTCGTCAAGTTCGACCAGCGCTGGCGATGGAAAGGGTGAAGGAGAGGTGGGTGCTGAGTTTGTTGGAGTTCGCTCCTGGGTTCTGAAGATTGCGAACCTGTTGCTCGAGAGGCGGGGGATTTTCGTGGGTGGTTCTGAAGCCTCTTTCTGCTCGACTGGTAGGTCTCGGTATTGTTGCCTCCAGAGTTCTCGGACTTGTAACTTCGCTGGCTCGATCCAGTCAGCGTGATGCTCACGCCACGCCTCGAACCTACCCCATCGGTGCCGAGGGTGCAATGCGGTGGCAGCGTAGATGAGAGGAGACTGGCCGATCTTCTCGTAGTATTTGTCGAGCTTCATCCATGCGTTGTTGACGTTAATAGCGACGTGTTCGCCGTCAACGAGGTCTTCAACTCTCGCCTTCGCTCTCTCGAGAGACTCAAGGAGGAACTCGTACCCATCGAGAAGATCCCAGCTTGCTCCCTGTACTAGACTGATCGGCTCATCGCAGGAGCTGCGCTTCTTCTCACGAGGTTGACCGTCGCCCTGAAGAGCTTTCACAACGAGCTCAAAGTCGAGAAGGATCTCTTTCAACACAGAGATGACCTCCCAGTCGTTCGCGGTCAACTTGTTCTCCTCATTTAAGAAGAGCGGCTCCTTCGCGCCTTTCTTTAGAGTGCCTGCTGTCGTCCGGAACTGCGAGTCAACGTGAAGCTTCGCCTCAAAGAGGAAGGTCTCGTAGAAAGGCTGGAGTTGAAGAGCGCGTTCCATCATGAAGTACTGAGAGAGCCACCGCGTAGCGTTGTCTGTCACCACTCCGACCGGCGTGTGTTTCTTGATCTTCTCACCTTCGGAGGCTTCTCGGATCCGTTGCTCTTGCGCCGAGATGAGCTTCTTGGTCCAGAGGTCTGACCTGTTGACCTCCTTCTCACGGTCAGTGATAGGTAGGTTGACAAGGCGAGATGCACATACCTGACAGAAGTTATGAAGCTTACCAATGGGGCCTTTCCTCCTCCATTGCTCATGCTCATGTTGAGTAGTGAGTAGGCTAGTAGAGACTTCTCGCTCAAAGGCATCACATTCTACACCAAAGAGTAGTGCTCTAACTACTAGGTTGATGATGTGGCCGAAGCATCGAACTCTCCTCTCTTTCCACTGGAAGCCGAGCTTCTCACCGATTATTTTCAACGCGGCGTCGTTATTTGTAGCGTTGTCGACAGTGAAGTAGCCAATCTTCTTTTCAATACCATAGTTTCTAATAACATCGAGGATGGCCTCCGCGATGTTCTCACCCGTATGCCGGTCACTCATCTCTGGCAGACCGAGCACAATCTTGTGAGGCGTGCGTGCCCTCTTCGTCTCGGAAGACTGCGCTCACGCCGTAGAGAGAGAGGCGGTTGCGTGAAGTCCATCCATCGAAGACTAGATGAACCAGCCCGGGGCTCTCCTGGAGCGTCTTAACCACCGCATCCTTATGCCGCTCAACCTCTCGTACAGCGAGGGCGTGAACAGTCTTCTCGGAGAGGTTGGCGATTTGAATGTCGACAGAGGGGTTGAGGTAGGAGAAGACATCGCGAAGATAAGGGTGTTCAGCTGTGCGGAAAGGAATATTGGCGCTGATGAGCCATCCTACAATCCTTCGTTTAAACTCAGCTCTATCGAACGCGCTGATCAAGTGGTTGGCCATCCTCTGATCCTCGGCGTTATTCGCATTGAGATTGAAGAAGGTGGCGATGGATCTCGAATTGCTGCTCTCGCGTTGGGGCTTGACGGCAGAAGGCGGCGGTCGCTTACCGGTAGGATCGCTAAGCTGGTGAGAGTTAAAGAGATGAATCTCGACGTTCACAAGATTTCGTGGGTTATAGGCGGCTGGCTTCCGGTTGCGTTGTTGGATACATCGAAGGCATACCCATACACGGTCTTTGCCGTCGCGTGAAATATCATACCCGAATTTCCATACCCACGACCACGCTGGCCCCTTGCGTTCAGTGAATAGGTAGCCGGGAAATCGCTTGAAGAGAAAGGCCAGGTCTTCTTCAGTACGTGTAGGAACCGCGGCGACGGCAGCAGATGCTTCTGTAGCCATTATGGTGGCAGGTAGGCCAGAATGCCGAGCTCGTCAGAGCTTGAGCTGCGAATTGACTGGGATTAGGGCGGTGGGAGTTCTGCCGATGCCCTGACCGCTTCATGTTAGTGTTCACCATACAAATTACTATTAATCACTATCACCTGCTAAGAAGGACCCACTATTCTGCAATGTCTGCAATAATGGATCCACGTTGCAGAGGGCCAGGTTGAATTGCAGGGGTTTTGGAAGCCTTCAGTTGCATTGATTTATGTGGGGCGTTGCAGCTGCAATTCAACTGCAATGTGTATTTCCGTGTAATTGCTCCGGACCCTGTACTTAGTTTTCGGCCCTCCGTGTGAAGATGATCTTCTGCTTCATTCTAGGCGGTATCACTTGCAACTTGGGGATCAGCATTGCCCCTTCAATGTCGCCATTGACACTTTCCTATATTTTCACCCCAACCATCTTCTTATGAGTCGCTCGTAGTTTAAATCCTTTCCTCGTAATCACATGACGCACCAGTCGGCGCTACACGTAGCACGCACACGTTACAGGTCAGCTTCTAGTTTTTCCAAGCTGGCTGACCTCATGTTCAGAGGTTTCAGATTCCGGGCACCATAGTTAGTTAGTTACTTGGTTTTAAGCAAATAAAAATCATGTTTCGTGCCAACCCAAGTTAAGTTTACAGAGACTTGAAATCATTATCAGTCCAAGTTACTAAAAGCTAAGGTTTCTTTAGGACATGGTAACTCTCTTTCTATCTATCTCCGAAATAAATGTAAGTTTGAAGAAAGTTACTTGAGGCTTGTCTCCTAGCTTGCCTGTTAGTGTGAGCTTATATCGAACAACAGCCACACTGCAGATAATGGGACTACTTTTAAAAGCGTACATTATAAGTCCATAACTCAACTATTCTAATAACCCTTTGAAAGTCAATTGTGCTAGTTAGTTATAGTTAGTTATACTTCTATGCTTTGTAAAAGACATTGATATTATCTTACCCTTGTGATGCAAGAATCCCCATTGTGTGATGAAGTTACTTAAGAGATAGTCCGTGCCAGGCCGCCGCCCCACTTTGGTCCTCTGCAAATAGTCTGTGAGGCGCCTTGCACCTTTAAAAAAGATAACTCTTTCTTCGACCTTTTTTCTACTATTTGCAATCGATGCAGTGTCCCGTATCACCTTGCCCCCTACAGGGGTGTGCTCTAAACATTGTCGTTGCCGGGACGACTGGGCGCGACGGTGGAGTGCACGAGCTTGCTGATATGAGGAGAAAATTCGGATCCATTGCAACAACGAATCACAACGGGAGCTTGGCTCAGTTGGAAGAGCGCAGGTCTCATACTTGTGTATGATTCGGTGTCAAATCGAAAATATCCTGAGGTCGTGAGTTCGAGCCTCACAGTTCCCACTTCCTTTTGCTTCAAATGACTTTTTTGCAACATCTCTAACTGGCAGAGAACTTTTATCTTGCGTCGGGGACGAAAGGGGAGATGAAGGGGGCGAAGGGTCGAAGGGGGCGAAGGGTCGTGGGGCGCGGGTTGTTGGTTACATTATTACTTCGTCACTTTGCGACGGTCACAGCCCCACCGTTCCAGGAGCTGGAAAACACAAATGTTATGCACCAGCATCGCTTGTCCAATTTGTATTTGGGTAGCCCTCCGCTAAGTGCCCAACTTCTCATACGCGGAAATTACAGATACAAGCCCTCCGGTTCACCCTCCTGCTTCGTACGTAGCACCCTCTCGCGAGCGGCGCGGAAGTCTGCCATCTGCACCCGCATGCGGCGCTCCCGGAGAGCCATGAGACCGGCCTCGGAGCAGATGGCCTTGATGTCAGCGCCCGAAAGATCATCTTTCTGGGCGATAAACTCCTCCAGGTCGACGTCCTCGTTAAGAGACATCTTGCTCGTGTGCAGCGTGAAGATCTTGCGCTTCGTGTTTTGGTCGGGATTCTCGAACAGGATCTTGCGGTCGATACGGCCCGGTCGGATGAGGGCCGGATCAAGCGTCTCAATTTTGTTGGTGGCCATGATAACCTTCACGTCACCGCGGTCGTCGAAGCCGTCGAGCTGGTTAAGTAGTTCCAGCATAGTCCGCTGCACTTCGCGCTCGCCACCCGAGGTAGAATCGTAACGTTTCGTGCCAATGGCGTCGATTTCGTCGATGAACACAATCGAGGGGGCGTTCTCAGCGGCAACCTAGAGTATATTAGCAGAATCTCGAAGTGGTTATTCCGGTGAGGCTTACCTGGAACAATTGCCGGACCAACCGGGGACCATCACCGAGGTACTTTTGGATCAATTCGCTCCCGACAATGCGCAAGAACGTGGCAGAGGTCTGATTGGCCACAGCCTTGGCCAGAAGTGTCTTTCCTGTACCAGGTGCGCCGTAGAGAATGACACCCTTGGGTGGCTTGATGCCCATCTCCTCGTATAGCTCGGGATGCAACAGGGGCAGCTCGACCGACTCTCGCACCTCTTGGATCTGTTGCTCCAAGCCACCGATATCCGCATACGACTCCGTGGGCGCCTTGTCTAGCTTCATGACGCTCACAAGCGGGTCTGTATCGTCTGTGAGGACGCCGACAATGCTGACGGTTTTGTGGTGCAGCAGTACGCTAGCGCCAGGTTCCAGCAGATCCTTGTCGACGAAGCTCATGATACTGACGTAATACTCCGGCCCAGTTGTGCTAGAAACAATGGCGTGGTCGTCATCGATCATCTCCTCGAGCGTGCCAACCCCCATGGGGCTGCCCCGCATGTCGTCAACACGGCTGCGTTCGTCGGCGACCCGGTCTGTGGATTCTAGTTCCGAAGTGGGCGCCGAGTTGTCCTTGACAGCCTTTGCCTTCCGAAGGCGCTCTTGGTTCTCGACAAATTCCTCTTCCAATAGCAGGTGATCGTGGATGCGCTGCATGCGCAGCAGTCGGAGCTTGCATCGACTCGTGGGGAAGACGGGAGGCATCTTTGCGGCAGCGCTAGTGCCACCGGCCCTCTTCTTCTTGCGGCCGATGCGCGCGGTAGGCCTCGGGGGTGGTTCATACTTGGGCTTCTCCTTCTATTCGTGGCAAGGCTGGTTAGCAATGTGCTTGGCGACGCCTTGGGCGGCGATGTAGATGACCGCAGTGATCCCCAGGAACCCGAACCTTCTTGTCCTTGTCATCTCGCGCATCCTTCCCGCCACCACCCATACCGCCCATTCCGGATTGATTTTGACCCTAGAAAACCGTCAGAGCCCATTTAGCGGCCATGCTCGACTGAGCTAACTGTACCATGGTGCTGGTGTGCGACCTCGGTCGAAGCGACAGAGCAAACGATCGGCTTTGGTGCTACGGGATTTATTGACACACAAGGTGCGTTGCTGAAGGTTTCCAGTGCGTAATGAGGTGATGCGGACGATGAGTGATCCGGCGGTGAGTTGAGGTGTTGGTTGGTGTTGTGATGTCGATGGTCGGTGCGAGCTTGAGGCGAGCTTTGTTGGGAGCCGCCAGGCGGCAGAGGAACGCGCCAACCAGGGAGTGGGTCCAAAGGTGTGTTCCACCGCCAATGACATCAAATGGTCCATTCCAGCCCACCATCAGCTTGGTGTAATCCGTGAATGGCACATGGCACGATGGGGATGCAATTTGTGTTTTCCACCCGGGCGAGAGAGCCCTTCTAAGTTGCGCACTGGTTGTTATCAGCGATGCAGTCGTAGGCCTGTAGAATTACCTGTGCAGAATACCAAGGGTGTGTGTTTCCATTCGAGGAGACCTCGCTGAGAACCGCCCTGCCCTTCGCCAGCTGAATTCTGCCAGCGACCCGCAATGACGGGGTGTTTGTTAGTGGGAAAGACCGTTCGAGAAAGCCTTAAAACGCCTGACAAGGCTGTTCCGATTTTCGTGGCGATACTATTTCTACCAAACCACCTTCATTCCCATCAATGATAGATAAGGTCCAACGAGCTTCTAACGCTGTCCTAAATTTGGCGAAAACGGAACCACATTTCAGCGCTACCCCTCCAAGAAGTACCTAAGTACTCGCCCCCTTGCGATCTCCCCCACACCCACTCTATCGTCTTCTGCCGCGAAACCGCAGCCTCAACCACGTGTAGCCGAACCACAACCATCAGCGCTCCGACTCTGGTCCTTGGACATCGTCGACCGTCATGGCCACTACCCGCGAGCGACGTATTGCGAAGGAACTAGCCGACATTCACAATGACAAGGATAACTCGGGGGTCCTGGCAAACCCCGTTGACCCCTCCAACTTGACGCACCTCAAGGGAACTTTTCCAGGGCCACCCGACACGCCATATGCCGGAGGCACCTACCAAATCGATATTGTCGTCCCCGACATGTACCCCTTCAAGTCGCCCATCATGAAATTCGACACCAAGATCTGGCACCCAAACGTCAGCAGTGTGACGGTAGGTCCGAGCGTCGCAGGGAAGGCAGGAAGCAAACGAAGAGCGGGGCAAGGCAGACGGGGCTCGGGCATCAAGGGCAAGACTACAGAGGTTAACTCGCAGCGTTTTAGGGAGCGATTTGCCTTGACACACTCGGCTCGGGGTGGTCCCCTGTCGGAACCATCAAGATGGCGCTGATCTCGCTGCGCATGCTCCTCGAATCGCCGAACCCCAAGGACCCGCAAGACGCCGAAGTCGCAAAGATGATGATGGAGCAACCGAACGAGTTTGCCGCCAAAGCTCACGACTGGGCGGTGAAGCATGCCGGTGCCCCACGGAGGGAAACGCTGACGCACAACTATGAAAAGTCAGCCACACCCGTTGTCAAGGACGATCCGTCGCGGTATGTTGTTCTTTAGATATGGCGAGGTCTCCCCGGGGTTGAGGACATCATTAGCAGCCATGGGGCAAGGATCATGCTGACGACGGATGACCATTCTCGTCTTTCTTGCAGATACAAAGGTTATAATAAGGACTTGGTGGATCGGTTTTGTCAACATGGGCTTCGAGGTTGATGCCGTAGTCGATGCGTTCATCTTTGTGGGTATCGACCGCAACGGGGGCGAGGACTACGAACTGGAGGAAGCGTACATGGGCGACATCACCGCGCGGCTCCTCGGCGAGCAGTAGTATAGCCAAACCGACGTCCCATATAATCAGTGGATTGAGCGCGGCGTATCTAGCTACACTCCAAAGCGCCAGTTCACACGGTTGCGGCGGGTAAGGGGCGGGGGGGGGGGAGACGAAGCGGTGTTAAGGCGTCGCCGGCGGGCAAGAGCCCGAATCCTATCTTGTCCCCTACACGCATAAGGAAAGGAGTTTATGGATGGCGCATCGGCGGACAACTTTATGGGACTTTGTGATTGTTTTCTCTTTTAGTATTTAGACGAAATGCAAAATGGGACACATTGCTTCCCACATGTTTCTCAACCCCCACATAGCCCAGGGAAGAGAAAGGCTGAAACTGCCCAGTGAACGGCGTCAGATCAGTCCTTTTAAAGGGCGTTGAACGTGGTTCTTATTTTGAGTAGGGACGACGCTCCCTCTTCAGCACAGCAAACCCATTCCCTGCTCTGTGTCGGTTGCGCCATAACGGGGGCTGACATCGAGCCTTTTGCATGCAAACATGCTCAGCTGAACCCGCAAAATAACCACTTTTTGCTTGACTGCCCCCCCCCCCCCCCCCCATCGGGGAGGGTATCCGGGTAATCATGCACCCATGTTTTTCGGACGCATCATCGACGAGGACAACTATTTCGCATGCACCAACACACACATGGGCCGTGAAGAACGTTGGTGAACTGCAAGAATAAAACAGCAAGAGGCTCCATAATGCACAAAACGTATTATGCCCAAACCACCCAAGTCCCCCCTAGTCTATAAGTCTGCTAATGCCTTAGGTTCGCCGCTCCCAGAGCGTAGTCTCCTTACTCTCACAACCGCCGCCTAATCTCTAGTCACTTCCGCATTCACTCGCAGCGGCAAAAAAAGAGGGAAAGGACCAACATGTACAAGGCCAGCACCGGGATAGCATTACCATGATACTACAGTGCTCGCGTCTAGAGCAGATCGCGCCTGACAAACTCGTCGCGGAGGGCCTTGCCCAGACCGGCGGGCGACCGCTCGACGATGACGCCGGCGGCCTCGAGGGCCTTGATCTTGGAGTCGGCACCGCCCTTGCCACCGGAGACGATGGCGCCGGCGTGGCCCATGCGGCGGCCGGGGGGCGCCGAGATACCGGCGATGAAGGACACGACGGGCTTGCCGCCGTTGGCCGTGTTGTTCTCGCGGATGAAGTCGGCGGCGTCCTCCTCGGCGGAACCGCCGATCTCGCCGATCATGATGATGCCGTCCGTCTCCGGGTCCTCGAGGAAGACCTTGAGGCAGTCGATGAAGTTGGTGCCGCTGAAGGGGTCGCCGCCGATGCCGACGACGAGCGACTGGCCCAGGCCGGCGTGGGTCGTCTGGTTGACGGCCTCGTAAGTCAGGGTGCCGGAGCGGCTGACGATGCCGATGCGGCCGCGCTTGTGGATGAAGCCGGGCATGATGCCGATCTTGCACTGGCCGGGGGCGATGATACCAGGGCAGTTGGGTCCCACAAGGCGGGTCTTGCTCTGCGACTTGAGCATCGAGGTGATGCGCACCATGTCTAAAACCAGGTCAAAACTCTTGTCCACAGCTGCGCCGGTTCATTCTCCTGCTCGCGACTGACCATGTTGGGGAATGCCCTCCGTAATGCACACAACGAGCGGGACCTCAGCGGCGATAGCCTCCTCGATACCAGCAGCCGCAAGTGGGGGCCTGTTGATCCGCAGCTTGTTAGCGCGGCTTGCCTCGGGTGAGTCGTTATAAGGGTCTCCTTACGGCACGAAGATGGCTGTCGCGTTCGCGCCCGTCTCCTTCACGGCGTCGCTGACGTTGGCGAAGACGGGGAGGCCGAGATGGGTTTGGCCGGCCTTCTTGGGGTTGGTCCCGCCAACAACCTTGGTGCCTGAACAAATCGCTCGTATTAGATCCATGTTCGCCCCGGCGTTGTCTGGATAGCCCTCGTTCGGTTCTAGGTAAAATTACCATAATCGATCGCCTGTTGCGCGTGAAATCTGTAAAAACACTCGCCGTTAGTCTTGAGTCTTTTATACAACCCCTAATTTTGCGCCGAATGGTAAACCACGAGCCGCGATAAGTCGCACAGCGAGGTAGTAGTGTGAAAGAAGCGGATAAATATTGGGTACTTACGTTCCCTGCTTGCCGGTAAAACCCTGGTAGAGGACCTTGGTGTCGCCGTTAATGCGAAGGTTCTGAATGGTCGCAGCATAGGGGGAGGCGGAGGAGCTGTAGTTCCTCTGGGCAAGCTGTCGCAGGAGAGCGCCCGCGGGCCGCGATTGCCTCGAGAACGCCTGCATTGTGCTGTGTTTTGAAGGGAGCAAGGGAGAAATCGGAAGGATGTCGTCGGGGCAAGGTGAGCGGAGAGGGCGGCCTAATGCAGGATGGTGATGGCTTCGTTGAGGGTGTCGTTTAACTAACGGGATGCAACGGCCTTCGTCATTTCACTCTAAACCGCGACCTTGGCCAAAATTGTCGCCAGCTCCAACCAACAGGGCTCCTCTCCATCTGACAAGCAAGGGCCAGGCTGCGGTCATTGGTCCAGGCGTGAAGTCTCGGCAATTGCGGCGGTAGTATTTTTCCGATGAAACCCGCCCAAAGTGGGCGACAAATTAAGCCAGACCGCAAAACTGTCTCACCACCAAACACCACCATATCACTGCAATTCAACAACGCCCATCCGCTTAAAGAATGCGTTGGAATTAGAGGAAAGATGTCAAGGAAGCGAATAGACTCGTTTTTGAAAACTTTGCGAGAAAAGACCGGCACAAACTGCCCTCTTTGGTGGTGGTTGATGGTGGTGAGGATGTTTTGCGGTAGGGCTTTTTTTGTCAACCGCTTTGCCGCCGGCTTTGGCTAGCGGCACAAGATCGGGAGCTTCCGGGGTCTGACCCCACGTGCTGTATGTAAGTGGCAAACTGTGCAGATTACTTTTTGTGGATACCCGGCCAGCAGCCGTGCCTTAAGCCGAGCTCCCAGGTAACTGCCATGGTATTACAATTTCACGTTACAACGATTTTACCCCTCCAAAATTACCAGACAGATCTTGAGTCGTTGAATCGTCACACAGCAAAGCACAGCAAACCATCGCGCAGCAAGACGCCCCCGGGAAGCGACACGGCCAAAAGCACCGGCGCCCTTCGATTAGCGAATTAAAAACAACCCGCACAAGGCATTCCATAGGACCCGCCAGCCCGCCTGCAGCCGCGATGGCGACGACGACGGTAACGGCGACAATTCGAAAGAAGGACGCAAACCTGCCGTCGGAAAACGAGCGCTTCCTCCGATGCTGTGCGGATATTGCTAGCGCACTAATCGAAGACCACGAAGCGGCCAGGGATCCGAGCCGGCCTCGAAAAGACATCAATCTCAATACCCTCCGATCCAAACTAGCCAAAAAGCACAAGATCAACAATGTACCGCCTCTTACTGCCATTATCGCGGCGGTACCCGAGCATTACAAGAAGTACATTCTCCCAAGGCTCATCGCGAAGCCAATCCGTGAGTTGTCCCGTCCTCGAGGATAAGAAACTCCCGACCACTGACATCCTCTAGGCACATCTTCCGGCATCGCTGTGGTGGCTGTGATGTGCAAGCCACACCGTTGCCCTCACATCGCCTATACAGGAAACATTTGCGTCTATTGCCCCGGCGGACCGGACTCAGACTTCGAATATAGCACACAGTCATACACAGGCTATGAACCAACATCTATGAGAGCCATTCGCGCTCGCTATGACCCGTTCGAACAGGCTCGCGGGCGAGTCGACCAGCTCAAGGCTCTCGGCCACTCGGTCGATAAAGTGGAATTTATCATCATGGGCGGTACGTTTATGTCATTGCCGGAATCATACAGGGACGAGTTCATATCGCAGCTTCACAACGCGCTCAGCGGATACGGGACCCTGAACGTGGACGAGGCCGTCCGGGCTGGCGAGCAGAGCAGCATCAAGTGCGTGGGCATCACCATCGAGACGCGGCCGGATTACTGCCTGCAACCACACCTCTCCAGTATGCTCCGGTATGGCTGCACCCGCCTTGAAGTGGGTGTTCAGTCGTTGTATGAAGACGTCGCCCGCGACACCAACCGTGGCCACACCGTAGCAGCCGTGGCCGAGACTTTCTGCCTCTCCAAGGACGCCGGCTTCAAGGTCGTCAGCCACATGATGCCCGATCTTCCCAACGTCGGCATGGAGCGCGACCTGGATCAGTTCAAAGAGTACTTCGAGTCCCCCGCCTTCCGCACGGACGGCCTCAAGATCTACCCGACGCTAGTGATCCGCGGTACGGGGCTCTACGAGCTCTGGCGCACAGGCCGGTACCAGAACTACACGCCCAACGGGCTCATCGACCTGGTGGCGCGCATCCTCGCGCTCGTGCCGCCCTGGACGCGCATCTACCGAGTCCAGCGCGACATCCCCATGCCTCTCGTCTCGTCGGGCGTGGAGAACGGCAACCTGCGAGAGCTGGCGCTGGCGCGCATGATGGACTTCGGCACGACCTGCCGCGACGTGCGCACGCGCGGAGGTCGGCGTCAACGAGGTGAAACACAAGATCCGCCCCAACCCAGATCGAGCTCGTCCGCAGGGACTACACGGCCAACGGCGGCTGGGAGACCTTCCTCGCCTACGAGGACCCCAAGCAGGATATCCTGGTTGCGCTGCTGCGGCTGCGCAAGTGCAGCGAGAAGTACACGTTCCGGGAGGAACTGGTCGGGCAGCCGACCAGCCTGGTGCGGGAGCTGCACGTCTATGGCATGGCGGTGCCCGTGCATGCGCGCGACCCGCGGAAGTTCCAGCACCAGGGCTTTGGGACGTTGTTGATGGAGGAGGCGGAGCGGATCGCGCGGGAGGAGCATGGGAGTGAGAAGATTAGTGTTATCTCGGGGGTGGGCGTCCGGAGCTATTATGCCAAGTTGGGGTACTGGTTGGATGGTCCTTATATGAGTAAGTGGCTCAATGGGAGGCCGGGGCCAGAGGAATAGATGGTGACGGCAGGCGGCGTCGAAGCTGGTCAGGAAAATGCTTTTGGGCTGGCTGTTTCACGGGCAACTTGGCGTTTGGTGACACGACACGAGCATGCATAACTTGGGAGGCGTTGGCGGGGATAAGCATCATCTGTCATGACTGGATAGTTCAAAATGTGCATGAAATATGGATTTCCTCGCCTCCGTTGCTTTCTCATCATTCTTGAGCGTAGGAGGGATCACGATGAGGGTCAATATTGCACCCCTGAATAGCATCAACCTGGACAGAACAAGTATAGCCACCTATGCTTTCGCCCCCTAGCCGTAGTGGCCACATCCTAGTTAGTGCCGTTTTGCATAACTACTCCATACAGCGATCCTGCCAGGGTAAGCAATGAAACCATTGACCAGGGTGCTTCGTCACCCCGGTCAGCTTATCCGCCATGCCCAACACGAGAAATAAGGAGAGGGAGGTACCGAGTAAACGATGACAAAAAACCACCCAGTCTTTCCTAGGTCGGAGGGTCAGTCTCTGGTCCGATGTCCTTCGAAAACGGCCATGACGAATCATGAGCATCCCATCCCCGAACCCCGCAGCACTAGATCGGACGGCAGGTAGCAAGCTGCCTACTACTTGCTCAGCTGCCTATCTAGTGCGGACAGCTCCTGAGTGGTTGTAACTTGCATATCTGGAGCGGGTCCCAGCCGCGAATTCCGTCGAATCGGTTCTGGCGGATAGCGAGCACGTGTGCATTCTAGCTAAGAACGTCACATGGAGTTGTCTTTGCTGGACCTGCAGCGTCGTAAGTTGGCTCAAGTAAGAGCACACGGTTTGTTCTAACTTGAGGAGGGCCATGAGGACTGTCGGAGGGACGGGCTGCTATGTGTTCTGAGGGAGGATGGACATCTTCAAGCAAGACAGCGCCGGTGCGGAGCTCAATCAATCCATCCGGTCTCTCTTCGATGCTGGCACTGGCAACTAGTTTATTTCAACATCTTGCCATAGAAACCTAGAGACCACGGTGGATTGAACAACCGCCAACTTAGCTTCCCCACCAAGTCGAATTGACTGTGTTTCGGCATCGTTTGCACGCGCTTGCGTGGTGCGTCGTCAGTGAGCCGACACCGGAGGGCCCCAGCACTGACAAGGCGGCGGGCGCGATGCCGAGTAGCACGGGCACCGACGTTATGTTGGCATCCACATGAGCCCGATGTCAGCTTCGACTGCAGCGCACGGCGGCAGAACACCGCTAGCAGAGACTTGGGGCGGGAGAGGGAACGGCAGCCCTGAAGCTAACGCCGGTAAGTGAACCCTCTTGACCTCTTCTTCTTTTCTCTTCCTGGTCAGCTAAAGGGCCTTTCTCTGACCGCCGGCGGTCCAGGGACCGTTTCTTGCGTGGGAAGGAGTGGAGATAGCTTTGTTGTCTTCAACGGTTGGGTCGGTGTGATGAAGATTGTCGATAATTATGTTCCCCCGGCGTGGGAGTAGACGGGTTGAAGAGTATTGCAGCATTGCTGCAAGACCTGTGGTTTAGAGACGTTAGTGAGGCTGTGCTTCTGCCCTGCATTGATCTGTTCCAGTGGATGAAGACAAGATCAGTCAGGCAACCGAACAGGTTGCAGAAGATCCGCGGGGGCAGGAGGATGGGCATAAGAAGTAAGAGACTTAGGGCTTTGGATGGAGACGTTGGATGCCGCTGCGCATGATATTAAATGCCGGTTCGCTGCGATGAGAGGGACGAATGGTTCAATAAGTGCGTTTCGAACGGACGAGGCACCGGTGCCCTGTTTCGACTGCCGCATCTCACTGCACGCCGGGGGACAGTAGGGCCTGGAGATTTAGGCGCTTCGGTTGTTTCCGGGGGACCAGTTTGCCACGCGTGACATTAAGGAGACTAGGAATTACCGTCAACCCGGTTCGAGGACAAACGCACCGGGGGAACTTGGGTTTTGGATGTGCTTGTTCGTCGGAACCTTCCATTTTCGAGATCACGTTGTGCCCGGTGAGAATTGAGAAAGAGCCCAAACAGAAGAGCCTGAGAGCGGCTCATCTGTTCGATTCCATTTGATTCCACTTAATTCCACTGATCGGAAGGCTAAGCCGAGTGAGGAAAATGTAATTCTTCAATTGGCGTCCCCCATCCAGCGGCGGACGCGCGTTTGACCCTGTCATGTCACAACTCACAAGGCGCCCGGCGAGCATGGTGGCTGGTTCGCCCACCAAAGGCCCGGCTTCAGGCGTCCGGACAGGAAAACATTGGAGCCTGGAGGCCTTCCAGCTTCTCATCAATTTTATGTGCCCTTTCTTTGCGCAGAGCCTTGCGGGGCAGAGTGACACGCGGTATTTCTCCATTTCTGTGAATTTACTGCTTGTAAACAACCTGACCTGCAACTGTCAGCTTATTCAATGTTGTACTGTTTAATCCTGGGATACTTGCGATTATTGTTGTATTTTTGTTGTTCTGTTCTATTTATTTTTTTTTTTTAATATTTTTTTTTTTTATTTTTTTTATTTCTTTTTTTTTTCTTTTTTTTTTTTTTTTTATATTTT